TGTGACATCGGGGTGCACGTGGGCCCAGGCCGGGTTTGGGGCAGGCCCCGTTTGCGCTGACTGAGCCTGCACCAGACCCTGTCTCGGCACACGTGGGACCGAATGGTTGTTTTTCCGCCGCGGGGGCACCGGTTCACCTTCCACATCTCCCGCGGACCGAGAAAGGAGTCCAGCCAATTTCCCCCTGTGCCTCTGATCAGTTTTACTGTCAGTCAGGAACCTCTCCCCCGCTCCGGAGCAAACCTGTAGGTGGTGGGGTCCCATAGCTGGCCCCATTACGACCGTGGGCTCTCGCCATGTGGCCCACTGTGGTTCTGGGGTCCTGCCGCACTCAGGGTCCTGCCAGCCCCACTGCGGCCAGGGCTGCTGTGGCCCAGCATGGCTGGCCACCACCAAACTTAATTGATAAGCTCACATCACTAGTGCAGGCTCTGGGCTGGGGCAGGGGATTGGGTTTGGGGTGCAGGCTCTGGGAGAGAAGGTGGGTGTGGGAGAAGGTGAGGAGTGCAGGTTCTGTGAGTGAATTTGGGGCTAGTGAATTTTGGGGGGACGGGGTGCAGGAGGGAGTTGGGAGGTGAGTAGATGAGTGGGATGGGGGTGCAGGCTCTGGGAGAGGGTGGGGCCCAGAAGGCAGGAGTGGGGGTGCAGCACTTACCTGGGGCACCTTCTCTGGTAGCAGCTCCTAGGTTGGGGGGATTGAAGAGGGGTCTCTGTGTGCTGCTGCCCACAGGCACTGCACCCACAGCTTCCCATCAACTGCAGGGGCGCTCAGAGCAGGGGCAGCACACGGAGATACCCCCTCTGGGGCCTCAGGGACAGGGATGTGCCAGCAGCTGTGCAGAGCAAGCAGCTGGAAGCCACCCTAGCCCTGCAATACAGGTGGGGACCAGGGTCCTTCTAAACCACATGGGCATGGCAGGCGGGACTAGTAGATGCATCAGGGACGGGAGAGGGGGACAGGGGGCAGCAAACGGGGCCCAGGATGCAAGAATCAGGATCTTGCTTTAAAAAATTAAATTTTTAGAGTAATCCACACTGGGCTCTTTTCTTTGCTCTCCATTTTCTGAAGCTTTAAGGTTCCCTCCCACCATGCACTCGAGCTTTGGGCTAGAGAGTCGTCCTTTCATACCTAAGCTGAGTGTGGCTGGCACATGTGTGGGAACAGGGTTTGCAATCCAGTTCTGTCTGTGTAAGAAAGAAAAAGCTTCCTAGTCTCACTGTTGTGTCCAGAGCAGCACCCCCCAGCCACGGAAACCTGCTATTTTCACAGACAAGGGTGGGGCGGGAGGAGAATGCAAACTCCTCTCTCGGGGAGCCACAAGTGCCACGAATGTGCCAGTGCTCATGGCTCGTGCTCCAACAGAAAAAGCTCCTTCCTTCAATGCAGCTGATGCAGGACGCTAAATGGGCCCAGATGCCAGGGCCGGCCCACAACATTTTGGCACCTGAGGCGGGGAGCTCAAATGACGCCCCCATGTCCCCTCACTTGGGCCAAAACTTTGAAAGGTCTCAATTCTGCCTCCTTCCTGTTCTCCTCCTCTCATGGGGCTGCTCTGCTCCCTACCCCCGTAAAGGAGAACTAACAACTTAAAATGCCTTGTTCACAAAGCGTGAACTAGTGGCACCCCCACAGTCTGGCACCTGAGGCGGCTGCAGGCAATGGGGACAGCTGTGGGTGAGCAAGGCACTGCTGGTCTGGCAATGGTGAGTAGAGCAAATGAAATCTCAGGAGCGAGGAGGGATCTGTTTGTGGCTGGTGCTGGATTTCGCTTCCTCATCGTTGCTTGCAAGAGGGCAGCTCTGTTTACTTGCCTCCTGAAAGCCATTGGCAGGGCTTCCTAAAGGCCTTCTTATGAGCCCCTGTTCTCCCTTTAAATAAAGGGCCTGGTTTCCTCAGCTGCTTGCACCTTGTCCGGTCCTTTAACCTCAGGCAAAGTGAGTGCAAAATGCTGCTGCATCAGCCTGCTTGGCTGCAGAAGGCACAAGGCAGCGGGGAAAGTCTGATCCAAGTGCGGCTCTTGCCTGCTAGCTCTTTTGGCTTTTATTGCACTTGGCCTGCGTCTGTGGGGTAGGACTCCTGGGCTAATAATAGAGCTTCTCTGTGGTATGCCCTCACTGATCAACTTGTGCTCTAATAATATTCCCATATCCCAGATGGGGTAAGTGAGGCCTGTGACCTGTCCAAAGTCTCCTACTGAGTCAATGACAGTAGAGTCTTCTCCAGACTCTTAGCTGTGCAGCCAGTAACAACGCAGGTGTAAAAAGTCCTGGGTCAGGCTGGTAACTGCTTACACCTGCATTGTCCCTGGTGTTAAGGACAGTGGAGTCAGACTGGCGTTCTATCCACTAGCCCACGCTGCCTTCTAACAAGCTTGCCAATGCGGCGGCCCCTTCAGTGTCAAACGGCTGCACTCTTGAAATAGGCAGCTGGGAGGGTGAGAGGTGGTTGATTTGCCTCCTTTTTCTGTTTGTGAGTAAATGTATGTTCCCTTAACAGCCACATCCTCACTCTCGCTGGGCAAAGGGCCCGCAGGAAGATGCTGTTTCTCTTGACATTTGCCACTTCCTTGGGACGCTCACAACTCTTCCCTCCTTCTGTCTGTGTGCACGGGAGCCCCGACCGTGGGATTTCATTGCAAGCGCTCCGCTGTTAGTAGTGGCCTCTTGTCACTTGTCTGGGTTTATTTGTGTCTGCATGCTCTCTAAGTTGGGGAAGAGGCTGGTGGTGGCGTATCTCTACTGGCTATGCTGCTATAAAGCTGGAGAAAATCTGGCCCTGCACTAGCTGGTGAAGACGATTTTGCTGTTCAGACCCTTCAGGTCTTAGGTGATTGGTGAAGTAACAATAGACCCGCCCCCCTGCTTTTCTAGACGGGTTAAACGTCTCTGCCCCTTCTGCAGCTGCAGGGAGGCTTTTAAACAGCTGCTTGTGTTTCCAGAGGCTACAGAGGAGCATGTTAGAAATCAAAACAAAAGCTGGTGTGTGTTTGTTTTTTCAGGAAGTGACTGTGACATGCCTGCTGCTTCTCTCTGCTCTCTGGCTGCCTGGCAGCGAGAGCGACAATTGTGAGTCTATGCTGGGGGATACAGGGGTAGGTTGAATAGTGAGGACAAGAAATCCCATTCAAGCTACTTACCCAGAGCAGGGCTAGTACTGGTAGCTTCTCCCAAGAGCAGAAATGCTGGCAGGGAGGAGGGCGGGTGGAAGGACACCAAAACGTATAGCTCTGCTAAAGCGTTGGTGGCAGCAGTGGGAACTCTGTATCTTGTTGAGGGGAAGCCCTTTCTCCGCCAAGCCAGAGCTGGAGGTTCTGCATCTCCAGTAACAGTGGAGGGCAGCCACACACCATGCTGAGCTTCGGCTGCTAATGAGCTCAGCTCTAACGCGGGACTCCTGGGCGTTCCCTCTCGATGGGCACTGCACAGGCGTTGTCTTGGATGGAGTGTCCCAAGGCGGTTCCGTCATCCGTGGGAAGGTTCTCCTGGGATGTGAGCAGCGACTTAGAGAATCCCCATCTGTGTCAAACGAGATCCCCTCCCCACCGAGCCGAACATGGACTCCAGCTTAGATAGGTTAACTGTAGCTTGTGCCGTGACAACCGCTTAGTCCCGATGACCTCGAACATCCACACGTTCCTCCTGCTCTAGCCGATCTGAAGAAGCTGCAGGACCCGAGGCGAGAGGCTGCCCTCCGTCCCAAGAGAGGCCTGAGATTGTGCTTCCCGAACCCCTGTAAGCACCAGGGAGTCTGCCAAGTAGTTGAGGGGAAACCAAACTGCACCTGCAACGCTGGCTTCACCGGGGCGTTCTGTCAAGGTAGGCCGGGGGCCACGCTGCACGTGGTCTGCGAGAACGTGTCCATTCGAGTGGTCGTGAGCGGGACTCGCGCCACTTACGGGCTCAAACAAGTGTCAGGAGGAGACTTTCCCTTCCTTGGTGGGATTATGCAGACAGGACTTGTTGAGCTGTCAGAAAAGTGTATCCCTGCAAGAAAGTGACCCAAAAGTGTTGCCTTGGACCAGTGGTTCTCAGTGTGGACTACTGGTGGTCTGCGACTGTCTTGCAGGTGGGCCACAGGCTCAGAGCTCGTTCTTCCTCGCCCCTTACCGTGTCAGGAGGAGACTTTCCCTTCCTTGGTGGGATTATGCAGACAGGACTTGTTGAGCTGTCAGAAAAGTGTATCCCTGCAAGAAAGTGACCCAAAAGTGTTGCCTTGGACCAGTGGTTCTCAGTGTGGACTACTGGTGGTCTGCGACTGTCTTGCAGGTGGGCCACAGGCTCAGAGCTCGTTCTTCCTCGCCCCTTACCCCCCCCCTCCCCCCCCCCCCCCCGGCAGAGGGGAGCATCCCATGCACCTCGTGTGACTGGAGCACCAGTACCGGATTCCCACTGAGGGGACGACCCCTGAGCCTCGCAGGCTGGGTCAGCTCGTGGGGGGAGGAAGTGACTCTGTGCACTGCTTTCTCCCAGCTGGGAGAACAGCAGCACAAGATCAGCTCACCTGGAGGCTTTCCCCACCGCTCCCATTGGCTGGAATTGTGGCCAATGGGAGCAGTGAGGGGGGGGCGGTGCCCAGGGCACAGAGGTCAGGTAATCACCCCATCCCCCTCCTGTCCCAACCCTGCACTCCCTCCCACCAAGACCCTGCATATGCACCTCGCTCCTGCACCTTCCCTCCTACCCAGACCCCACACCCTCAGCCTGCTCCTGCACCCATTTTGTCATCATGGGTGCTTGGCGGGTGGTCCGTGGAAAGGTTTGTGTTGAGTGGGGCGGGTCATGGGCCAAAAAGTTTGAGAACCGCTGCCTTAGACCAAGCGCTTGGGAGTCTCTGGCTTCCCAGGGTGCTCGGGTCTCGTGTAATGACATCACAGCCATGGGGACTCCATCTGAAAGGCCTCTGCTCTCCTGAGGTTCTCAGTCTCTTCCACTGCGGGCCTCTGCCAGTCCTTGGCCAGCAGCGTGGGGCAGGGCTGTCTGACTACATCCATTCCAGGCCACCCCATAGCGGGCGGCAGGCTCCTTCTCCTGCCGTTGGCTTCCCCCCAGATGTGGTGCTGAAGCTGCAGTGTGAGGACGAACACATGAAGATGATGGTGAGACAGGAAGTCTTTGACCAGCTGAAAATCCCCTTGGCGCGTGTTCACCTGAAGAACAGGGCTTGCAAGGTCTCTGAGAAGGAAGAAGACGGTGCCGTTTTCTTTGCAGCGACTCTCATGGACGTGAACTATACGCGGTGTGGGTCGGTGATTCAGGTGAGGGCTCTGCAGGGTAACCTGGGAGCCTAGGGCAGGGGAAGCTGTTCTGAGGACACAGCGGTGAAGGGTTGTGGGCATTTCTGCTCTTCCTCTTTTATCTCCACCTCGTGGCGTTTGGACCTAGCTCTAAATCAGGGGTGGGGGACTTCAGGCCCCGGGGCTGGAAGCGGCCCTTGGCTTACTTGGATCTAGCCCACAAGGCTCAGGGCTCCTAGCCCAGCGTTGGGGAGACTGTGCAAGTGCTCCAGCCCCCCGTGCTGTCCCACTGCACGCAAAATCTACTGGCCTGGACCCCCCAGGCTCTGGTGTGTGAGAGGAATGTGGGGGGTGTCTTTCTCCTCAGCCGGGGCCACATCAGTGAGGGTTTTTTCTTTGCTCCTCACTTGTGCATGGCCCCCGACTAATTTTTCCTGTGGGTCCGTGGCTCCCGACTGAAAAAAGGTCCCCACCATGAATGGAAGTCTTCTCCAGAGAGCTGGTGAGGTGGCCAAGTGGACACCAGCTAATGTAGTCAGTGATTCTTTCTGGCCCTGGTGTTGGTAGGGTCTTGAGGGAGCAGTCCATGGCCACTTCAGTGGAATATGAAAGTCCCGAGTTTCTATTTCCTCAGTAAGTAATTGTCCTTCCAGCAGCCATTGTATGTATTTAGATGGAATAAATAGGCTAAAGGTGCTCAAATAGCCCGGTCACCATCCAACGGTCAATAGTGTGAACAGGGTCGGGGATGGGTACGCAGCCTACCTAGCACCATGGCAAACACGCTATAAAAGTCATGCCGCATGTTGGAGACAAGGTGGGTGAGGCCATATCTCTCAATGGATTGGACACTGTTGGCCAGAGGTAAGCTTTCAGCTCGATACAGGGACTTTTCTTCACACCTGCATCGCTCGAGAGCTTCTCACCAACAGAAGTTCTTCTGATAGACTCTAGGCTGGGGTGGGCATATCTTCTAATATCCTGGGACCAACACGACCACAGCAGCCAGCGATTAGAACTCTTCAAGTTGGAGAATAGAAATGGAAATAGTTTTGCCCCCCAAAACTCCCTTTTTTGGGAGATAGACATACCCTCATGCATATTCTACACTGCATGCTTATTTTGAAATAAGCTATTCCAGAAGAAATCCTCCAAAACAGCACGTCTACCCTACAGGGAAGCCTCAAAATTAGTCCGAGGCAGGCTCCCCTAATGTGGATGCGCTATCTCGATTTAGAGCCCCAGGAGGCACTGGGGAGGAATAACTTAGAATATAGTAGCCCAGTGTCTGAGAACATAAGAACGGCCGTACTGTCAGACCAAAGGTCCATCTAGCCCAGGATCCTGTCTATTTGTATCAGCAAAAGCATATTTTTTGTTGGTATAAGTTGCGACCATGCTAGGAGAATTTGTCTGGAAAAACATTTCTTCTTTTAATCTGTTTATTTATTTAGGAAGTTTTAACAAGTTTACAAATCTTTGCCATGTAAACAACAGAGATAAAACAATAATCATGACACCAGTGACCTTTTCATTAGAAAAACATTCAACAGTAATATAGTCATTATGTCTCTCCATTTAGCAGGGTGATCCATATTACAGAGTGACCATCATTACTATATCCATGACATGTCATTTCTAATGATTGTATTAATTTGACTGAAATCTCTGATTACACATATCTAGCAGACCAGACATTTATATTCAAAATAATTAATGTGTGTGCAGGGCAGGAGTTAAGTGAAGATACTTTGTCTGAATATCATATATATAGTAGCCCAGTGTCTGAGAGTCTGTAACGCCAAAATGCTGGCTGTTTCCTCTAGGGGGCACTGTTGCCTGAAATGCTGGCTGTTCCCTCTGGGCGGCGCTGTTGCTGAAATGCTGGCTGTTTCCTCTGGGTGGCCCGTGCTGCATGGGGAGTATGGGGCCCAAACGGCCGCTTGCTTCCCTGCCGCGGCCCAGCTGAGTGGCGCAAAAGTCAGCTGAGCGCCATGGTGGGAGGGGAAGAGGGGCGGGGTGGTGATGTACATGGCCAGGGGGTGGGGCCTGGCCATGTACGTCACTGCCTCGCCCCCCTTCACCTCCCGCCATGGCGCTCGGCTGACTTCTGCGCCACTCAGCCAGGCCGCCATGTGGGAGCAAGTGGCACAAGCGACCGTTTGGGCTCCACGCTCCCCATGCAGCACGAGGAGCACAGAGCCCAAAAGACCATTTGGGCTCCGCGGGGGGAGGAGAGGGAGAGGGAGAGGGAGACCTGAAAATCCCGTCTTATGATGGGCTAATTGGCTAGTAACTTAGAATGGCCGTGGGGGAGGGGCTATTTCGAAACCGCAGCAGTGGCGTGTCCACGCTACAGCTATTCTGAAATCGCTATTTCGGAGTAGGCGTTATTCCTCGTGGAATGAGGTTTACTGATTTTGAAAAAAGCTGTCGGTTATGTCGAAATCTCGATATAACGGAATTGCAGTGGAGATGCTCGCATTGTTGTTTCCAAATAATGGCCGTTCTTCTGAAATAACTGTGCTGTGTAGACGCACCCTTACTGAGCTGACCAGCCCTTGGTGGGGAAGAAAGGGTTAATTCTATTCAGTGTTCAATAGGGAATGAAGGTCACTTTCCTGCTGCTTGTTTTGTCCACCACTTGGGTCTAATTTCTTTACCCTGGGTAGAAGCCACTTGATTGAATCCAAACGACTGTTGGCTCATTTCCAATCCCCCCGCCCCGCTTAGCTCATCTGAACGATCCTTGAATGCAATCGGCAGGCGCTTTGTTTGAATCCGACTTCGTCTCCGTCTCCCTTTGTTTCTTAAACGTTTAGTATAACAAATCCATTGTCGCTTCATGAAGCTTTACCCACACGTCCTCAGTTAGGGTAATGAGGACCGTAGGGCTGCTAGGCCTAGTTATTGGGGTCACGGCCAGCTTTCCATCCTGCAACTGTCACCTTCTGGTGGCTGGACCTCCAAATAGCAGGTCTTGCAAGCTAATGGAGATCTTCCTGTTTCTGGAGCTCTGTACGCTGCCACTCCTGGGGGGTGGATTAGCTGAAGGGCTGTGTGCAGCATACAGATCTGCTTTGGGGCTACTTGCTAACCCGTATCTAGTGCAGTACCAATGTGCCACTACTAAGCCGCTCCGCACAGTGGCGTCTTCATACAGAGCTCTCCCTTCTGGGAATGGAAGGTGCGTTCTGGGCCACCTTGAGGGAGGCCCATGCTCACTTGGGACCTGCCTTCTTGGGGGGGGTGAGCACCCAAAAATCACCAGCTCAAATCACGGGAGCTGTGGGTGCTCGGGGGGACCCCAAACAAGAGTCCGCTCTTGAAAACCCGCCTGTCTGTGCCCGTGAGGTGATGGCTCTGGGGCAGGGCCGTCGGGTTGCTTAGCGACTGGCGCTATCTGGCCTAGCTCTGCCTGGGTCCTTGCTGGCTCGGCGGCAGGCAGCCTGGGGAGGCCAGTGCCTGGCACAAGGCGATGACTTCAATGCTCTGTCTGGCCCACATCAGCGGAACAGGACGCACGTGTCCTATACCAACGTGATGGAGTCTGACCGGGAGACCCTGGGTGTGATCTCCAGAAGCAGCCTCGTGCGCGTGCACTTCTCCTGCATCTACTCCTATGAGCACGTGGTCCAGCTGCCTTTTCCTGTCGCCGCCATCGACACGTGAGTTGCCTCTTTCCTCTTGACAGGCAGCTTCCTCCTGACCTGGCTTCAGCAGTGCAGCATGCTCAGTATACTCTGGTGCCCCATGGGTGGCTGAGTTCCGGCGCACAAGCTCGGGGAGTCTCGTATCTGATACCTGGCCCCACATTCCCAGCTGGAACAGCCAGGACCGGGGGGTGGCACTTCACAAAGAGGTCCATAGTCAAAGGATGGAGAGCAGCTGTAGAAATAGCTCCCGTCAGTGAGATGATTAGCCAGACTATGCAGAGGTGCTGGTGAGCTTGGAGAGCAATGTCCCATCTGGATTCTTTGCTCTTACTTGGCACAGCAGGGGCCCCACATGCCTGGCTTGGACTGGCTGGAAGCTGCCTTCCTGCCCTTTGCTGTACTCGGCCGATTGCTTGAAGGGGACTGTGCTTTGTCGCATATGTTGCAAGCAATTGCACCTTTCCTGGGAGTTTCAGAGAGGTAGTCGAGTTAGTCTGTAACTGGAAAAACTTAAACAAATAGTCTAGTAGCACCTTAAAGACTAACACATGTCGATGGGATCATGAGCTTTTGTGGGCACAGCCCACTTCAGCTTAGAAAAGAGGAGACTAAGGGGTGATATGATAGAGGTCTATCAAATCATGAGTGGTGTGGAGAAAGTGAATAAGGAAAAGTTATTTACTTGTTCCCGTAATATAAGAACTAGGAGCCACCAAATGAAACTGATGGGCAGCAGGTTTAAAACAATAAAAGGAAGTTCTTCTTCACACAGCGCATAGTCAACCTGTGGAACTCCTTGCCTGAGGAGGTTGTGAAGGCTAGGACTATGACAGGGTTTAAAAGAGAACTAGATAAATTCAAGGACGTTAAGTCCACTAATGTCTATTAGCCAGGATGGGTAAAGGATGGCGAGCCTAGTTTCTGTTTGTCAGCGGGTGGAGATGGACGGCAGGAGAGAGATCGCTTGATCATTACCTGTTTGATTCACTCCCTCTGGGGCATCTGGCATTGGCCATTGTCGGCAGACAGGATACTGGTCTGCCCCAGTCTGGCCGTTCTTATGGAGTATAATGGCTGTTGCCCACGAGAGCTCATGATTCCACCTACATATATTGTTAGTCTTTAAGGTACCACTAGACTATTCGCTGTGTTTAAAGTCTTTCCTGGGGGTGTGGGACACTGGAGTTCTGCCTTTCTTTAATTTGTCCACTGAAAATAAGCGGAGGCAGCACCAGTGTCCCCAGCTGGGAGACTGCAGCAGGAGAGGTCGGGGTGCAACACCCCACTGAGGCAGCCTCGACGGGAGCTGCTTTGTCCTAGTGCAGAAGGGACACTGAGGCAGCTCTTTCTGCTCACACCGGGTGTTTCTGGGCAGGTGGGGGATAAGCAAACTGTGCCTGACTGTTGGTTGGTGATAGGTCCCTGGCTGTAAGGAGGGTGACCGAAGGGCTTCCCCATAGGCAGGCGCTAGTGCACATGGGGGTCTGTCTGCTAGTGCTGGCAGTTGGATGCGTGGTGGCCACCTCCATCCTGCCGCTTTGTAACTCTGGGCCGGGCTCTCCCTGATTGCCTCCCAGGCTGGTGAAGTTTGTGATCAAGGAGGGGGAATTCAATGTGAGCATGGCCTTGTACGAGACCTCGGCGTACCTGCATCCCTACCGGCAGCAGCCCCCTGCCCTCCCGCTGGAAGTGCAGCACCAGCTCATTGTGAAGGGGTAAGAGGTGGGGGTTGAGCTTTGCCTCTGCTGCGCTCCTCTCTCCGGGGCCGCTGTTCCCGGGGAGTGGCAGGAAGCAGCGGCCAGCATGACCCTGCAAGCGCCTCCCGTCCCCAGCTCCCATTGGTTGGGAACTGTGGCCACTGGGAGCAGTGGGGGGCGGGGCCTGAGGATGATCAATGTCAGCAAAATGTCCGGCAGTCTGCAGTCAGATTACCCTGCTGGGCAGCGAGCGGCATGCGGCCCTCACGCCACAGGCTGCCCCCCACGGTTCTGCCCCTCTGAACAGCATAGGTTTGCTTAGTGTCTCAAGGGGGGGGGCTGTTAGACTCCCCCAAAAGCATGGATTTCTCATTGCATTCCCAACCTGTCTCCTTCTGGAATGGCACTGCCTCTCCAGAGAGCCTCAGGAACAGAAACAGGCCCCTTGCTGAGTTATCTTGCCGGGGTACGGAGCGTGAAAGTTTGGGAGGGGAGCCTCATCCCAGTTTGGACAAACACCTGTCCGAGGTGGCCTGGGTTTATTTGGTCCCACCTTGGTGTGGAGGATGGACTGGATAATCTTTAGGGTTGCCAGATGGCTTCAACAAAGATACCGGACACACTTGACATGACATCACAATCGACATTGCTTCTTATTTAGAAAATCCCAGCCAGTTCTATTTTCTCATTTCTATTGTCTCAATTTGTTTCCCGAACAGAAAGCTCAAATATTGGACTATCTGGTTCAAAACCGGACACCTGGCAACCCTAATAGTCTTTTGAGGCCCCTTCCAGCCTAACGTTCCCATGACTGAGGGGGTCAACTAGTAGGCTGCAGGTTGTGGTCTGGTGCACAGAGAGCCAGCAGGTGTGGTTAAAACTATGGGCATAGGCCCGCAGGGATATGAACAGAAGGAGGGTACAGGGACTAGAGACCAATGAGAAAGCCGTTTGAGCTGTGGGCCTGCGTACCACCAATAGGCCTGTGAGAGCCCCACTACGCCATGCTGATGCATAGCCAACAGGCGTAAGAACGGCCACACGGGCTCAGACCAGAGGCCCATCCAGCTCAGTGTCCTGTCTGCCCACAGTGGCCACTGCCAGATGCCCCAGAGGGAGTGAACAGAACAGGGAATCAAGTGATCCCTCCCGTCGCCCATTCCCAGCCCCTGACAGACGAGGGACACCATCCCTGCCCCTAACCAGACGCCGGTGTAGCTTTCTGATACACCAGTGTTTCATCGCAGGCCGAGTGGCCAAAGCGCTGGACTGGCACTTAGGAGACCTGGGTTCCTTTCTGGCTCTGCTGGGTGACCTTACAGAGTAATACTATGTTCGGTGCCTCAGTTTCCCCACTGCAAAGCAGGGATAGTGATACTTGGGGATCTCTGGCCCAACCCATCACTTGAGACTGTCTCTTGGTGGGCTGATCTTACTGAACCAGCCTACTTCCCCTTTTCCACAC